AATAGCAGTCCCTAAACACATATAACACGTGTTCAAGACACTTTCACACACATCATCTGTCAAGTCATTTTATTTACTCATTTAACCATCACCAACTAATAGTTGTAAATATTATTAAATTGGCTGCATGAAATCAAATCCTTAAAGATGACATCGAGAACACTGTATTATCCTTTTCTTCTTTGCCTTCCTGAACTGATCTTGTGCCAATTCAGTACACAGTGTTTACTAAAATATACAATATTTATGACATACCTACTAAAGTGTTGCTTTAAAGCTGATCATAGGAGATTGGAAATCCTTGTGATTGCTCATTTGTAACTCATCCAATCATGATGACTCATGTCACGGGGGATTTAGAAAAATGGAGAAATGCTAGCTTGAAACATTCATATCTCTCTTTTCCAGGAATTTCAGTGGGTATTTATCTGTATGGAGTTTACTGCCTCACATTTTTTTTTATCTCCATTCACATTACAGAGTAAAAATAGTTTGAAAGTGATCAAAGATGCTCTACCAGCCTACCTTTCCACCATTTTTTTTAATAGCCAACGATCCTCTGCTCCTTAGATAAGGCCAAGCCTGACAGTCCAGAAGAGCTTGCTGAAGTGATAATGCCTACTCCCTACTATGTACATTTAAGCAGTATTTACATAATTATTACCTCTTGACGTAACCTGCTAATCATCTAAAGTGATGAATATCAAATATTAGTTCCAAAGTAATGCTGATGTGTCTCAGCAGATCCCCTGTAATATTAAAAATATTTATGATACCCTAATTGCCCCAATAAACTGTATTTTAAAATTTCTTCTAAAATACTTATCTCTTATAGTTTAGACTCTGTCTGGAAAGACCAGCCATATTCTGTTATGGCTGAAATAGTAAGCCAAAATTCAGCTGCTTCTGGAAAGTGACAAAAAGGTTCCTTTTTGTTTTAAATAAATTATAATTGCCTCCAGCACACAAATAATGTGTACTTGAAAAAATTGAAAATATTTGTGAATCTAAAAGCCTTTTTTGAAAGAGTGACAGGATTAAACATCACTTTTCTGCATAGGGGGTGAGACATTTTCATTTTGTTCCAAGTTATTTTACTTTTTGTGTGACTCTGGAGTTTATAAACATGCCATAAAATTTGGCAATTACATGATGATGATTTCATGGTTCTATCTTCAAATAAAGGTAGCTAGACATAGCAGCAAAATTGATTTCCTTTTTTACCTTCATGGAAGGGAACAAAAGGAAATTGAATGCAAAATCTGCATTAAGACCATACTAGAATTATAACTCAGTGATCTGTTACACATGAAATGAAGACCAGGTGCAGCCAAGTGTTTCTTATTATGTTAAGGTATTCAGCCAACAGGTGAAGTTCACACAACCTTCTGTTGAACCATGCCTTGTTTTGATACCCACAAGGTTCCAAGTGCGCATGACTTGACACTGTCTCCTGTTGTTTCTTCTTGCCAAAGGCACTGCTCAGAGGCACGACTGTCCCTAGACAAAATCATGAAGTGGGTGAAACTTGTGTTCCTTCCTTACTCCTTTGCAATGACAGTCTCATCTTAGATCCTTTCAGCCTCCCTGTCCCCCAGTGCCAAAGAGGCTCATTGATCTGGATTTACACTCTGTTTTCCAGGAGGCTCACAGTGTTTCTTGGTGTCCAATTCCTCTTTGATCTATAGTTTTCTTGCTCAAAAGATGTTCAGTGGCTTCACAAAGGAAGCCAGATAATCAAGATCCCCCCTCCTTTCCTTCGGACGCCTACTGCCCATTGCTCCCCTCCAGTGTTCTAGTGCAGGTGGCTTACCACCTTGCCCTTTTTATTTACACACTTTTTTTACACCCGTGCTATGCCTTCTGTCTGAGTAGGCCTTCATCGCTCGTGTCCATCTATGAAAATCCTAATTGTTTTTCAAGGCTTCATTCGGCTCTACCTCCTTCAAGTACCTTCCCTAACCACCCCCAGACTCCTTCCTCCACACCTCATCCGTACCACTCAATGGGTCTTAACACATACACTGCTTTGTATCATAATATTTATGTCTGTGTTGTCTCCAGGCACTGTGCCGGGCATTTTACAAACATAATCTGGTTTAAATTTCACAACAATCTGTTTAGCTAGGGATTACCCTACCATTTAACAGTTAAGGAAACTGAGGCTCAAATAGGTTAAATAATTTGCCCAAAGCCACACTGCTAAAAAGTCACAGGGCTAAGACCTAAACCCAGGTCCAAAACATATTTTTTCCACTAAACCATGTTGCCATTTTTCAGTTTTTTTCTATCTTCTGAAAGATGGATGGAGCTTTAAGGTGGAAAAAGAGCCTAACTTAGCCTTTCTAATGATCAAATATGTATTCAACAAGTGAAAACGGTTTATTGGTAATCACTGTATTCCTAGACAGAACTGACCGACTGGTTAACTATAATCCATGAGGAATTCAAGTAAAGCATGAGAGAAAAATATCCTTTACCTAAAGTTGCCAGAATAAGCACAGCATAGGAAGAGAATGTTCAAGAAAACTTGTAATTCAGGAAAGGCTAGATAGCATTGGATTTGAGCACAAATGGAAAAGAAATAAATGTAGGGTTGAGTAGAAAATTCTTCCTGTAAGTCCCCCATGGTTTTAACAATTCGGAGTGGTAGGGAGACTGAAAGTGTGATTATCATCCTAGATCTCACATAATCCAAGAGTGTATCAAGTATAAAGCCCATGTTGCCATTTTCCCCCAGTGTGGCACCTTGGGTAAGTTAGGGGAGAGAAGCTTAGTGTTTTTAAGAGGGAGGTCTCATCCCAAATGGGCTGCCTTTACGACTGTCCTCAGTACCACCCAGGACCATGGAGTTGGAGCTCACCTTAGACGTCTCCATTCTGGGAGATCTTCAGCCCAGGGCCTGCTTCCTGCCAGTCACATGGCCGAGGCTCCATCCCTGGAAAATATTTAGACTTTGGATCTTTATGTGCATTGCACCATTGGCAAAAATAAAAAATCTGCCTTCATTGCTGCTCTTTTATTCTGATCTCACTTCCCATTCCCCCAGCTTGTCATATTATCCATTGCATATTCCTTCAACATGAGGAAGATGCAGTTTTCACTAAATGTGTGGTGTCAGGGCATCTCTGTTAACTTCTGACAGTCACTCAGCTTTGTCTGCTACTCCGTTCCAACTTGTGTGTGCTCTCTGTCTGCCAATACCCATGGGTAGTTGGCTCTACCCTTTGTTCCTCACACCGATCTTAATAATAACTTAAAAATTATCATTTAGGGAAAATAAGGCATATAGTCTAAACTTGAATATAGCAGGCCATACTGGACTTCAGGCCCTGTGCTAGGAAGTCTGAAGGTTTTTGTTTCAGTTTACATGCTAAATCTGAGGAATTCCATAAGCCTAGTAAGAAAACCACCTTCAACCACACTTGGACAAATGCAAACGCAAAAGCTCTATATTTTCTTTTCTTTAAAGTTTTAGTGATTTTTCTTATTCTCCACAAAAGTCCTCAAAACTAATGTACTACTCTATCTTACTTTTAATGTCGAAATAGTTATAGATTCACAGAAATTACAAAAGAAATGAAAAGGGAGGTCTTGTATACACCTCAGCTCATTCCGCCCAGGGGTCACATCTTATGTAATCATAGGGCACTAGCTAAGCCAGAAAAGAAGAAAAAAAGTAAATTTACCCTAAAGACAACCTAGTCAGCTTTAAGTTCCATTCTACATTCTCCTTCTGCCCACAAGTGGTAAACAGGTTGACAATTCCGGGAGGCGGAGGGGGAAGTGGTCTGTCCATAGCACCACAGAGAAAATTCTAGCACATTGTTAGTGATGATCCCCAGATCTCATCAAATGTCTAGGTCAAGGTTAAAACAAAGCTGTGCAAAGGAGCCGACATCTGAAGACTCAGATTGGAATCAGGTTCTGCCTCCAAACATGTGACCTTGAGCAAACCACTTGACCTCTTCAAGTTTCAGTGTCTTCATCTATGAAATGGCAAAACTCTCTCGCCTGCCTACTTCCAAGGGCTGTCATGGGGATCCAGTGTGATGTGTGTGAAGGGATGCAGTAGCCTGTGAGTCAGCAATCATGAAAGTGCGTATTCTTTTCTCAAATTACTGCCAGTTATGGAAGTGTAGCTTTTCAGAGGCAGTTTTCTTCTTAGAAACAGAATAAATCTACCTCCTTCATAACAACAAGGCCCAGAATTTTCATCATATGTAAACGACCTTCCCTTTCTACCACTCTTAGGACAGATACCAGCAGATACATTGGACAAGCACTCTGCGACTCATTACCTACATACCCCTAAGGCATAGGATCTATTTTAAAATAAATATTTCTTCACATTTGCTTCTAAAAGGTCGACTGCATTTTAAGTAGCTTTTATTTTTATCTTGTCTGCTGGGTTCAGTCTTACTTTTTTAATGCCACGAGATGTACAATTGGTAGTCTCAACAATAGTGAGGAAGTATAAGAATACCGCATTAACCCACTGATGGTTTATGAAGTGCAAACAGAAATCCTCTGCACTGCATTGTTTCTTGGTTTGTCTGGTATGTACCATATTCTTCTAACTATAAGATGCACTACCTCCGCCCTTTCTCCTCCCCCAGCAAAATTGGGAGGAATAATGGTCATTAATGCTGCTGTTGAGTTCTGCTTACATTTACATTGGTAAAATATTATGTTATTTATGTTATTAGATATTTTACCACATTTTTGCTTAAAAATTTTTTTCTATTTTCCTCTAAAACCTAGGTGCATCTTATGGTCTGAAAAATACGGGTAAAATAAACTCTCCGACTCACCAGTGGACCCTGGTGTATAAGGAGTAAAATTGCTTGTCTCGGCAGTAACGGTGGAGAAATAATACGGGCGAAAATAAACTTCAGCCACATAAAGTAAAGACAAACATCTTTGTGTATAGTGAACATTTGGGGCAGCACAATAAAAATGTTAAGATCTGTTTTCTCCCCTCTCCTTCTTATATACAGGCTGGCATGGCTCTGACCTATGACCCCACAGCTGCCATACAGAATGGGTAAGTAGCCCACGTTTTCTCTAATTTAATTGCTAAGATGTCTTTGAACTCCAAAGTCAGTACTGAAGAAAAATGTTCAAACCTGTCTTTGGTGGGAAACCTGTGAACAAAACCTGTAAGTCAAGCATTGCTCACCGCTGTACTTCTCTGTCTTTCCCTGCGGGACTCGGACTTCAGGGTCACTCCCACCTGACCGATTCTCACAGCATCTCTGCCTGTATTAAACTCAGCATGCTCTCTCTCTGGGAATGCCCTTATTTATTACAAACCTAGTGGGGAAAAAGTAAAGTTTCAGCTCCCAATATGAGCAGCCAAAGGTGAACTTTGGGCAGTGCCATGTCTGAGGCAGGGAGGACTACCAGGCAAATGGTGAACATCTCTCCCTTCCCCTGCAGGTCAACCACATCTGCATCAATTGACACTGACTGGCTTATATCTCTTCACCTGAAATCACCTGCTCTGTGATGTATCTTCATCTGTGTCTTCTCGTAACAGTATAGCATTGTATTCTATTCTTTGAACTATTTTAACAGTTACAAAAAGGTTCACTCTCTTCTTCTCTTTATTATATTTATAACAATGAATATATTCCTCATGAAACAAATTTTATTGAAGATGCTGGGAGTACCTATTGATTTTATCTACTGTCTTCTGCTCTAGACCTTTCTTCCATCAGTCATCCCCTCTCTTCAGTGCCTTCCTGTGCACTGAACATTCCTTTCAACCTGTAGGATACACAGGTCTCTCCCTTCTTTTTCACAGGTAAACACCTTCGGTCTTTATACATGCTATCTTCTTGTATTCTCCTCTAATTAATCCTATTAAGTCATCAATTCTGGTCTCAGACTTTACTGAATTTCTCTTGTTGATGCCCCAATAATCTCCAAATTTGGCCATTTATAACTGTAACATTTTTAGTCCTTCAATTTGAAATCCTACCTCTTTTGACATTTTTTGAACCATTTATATCTTCTTGAAAATGTCTTATTATTTGGTTCATTTTTTGCTGATTTCCCTTGCTCCCTATTCTTACTGCTCATTTGATATCTTCTTATTCTACCTCTTCTGCCCCCTTTTGATCATCTTTCTCAGGGTTTAGTCTTCTTCAGTCTTTTTTTTTCTGGTTAATCTCGTCCATCCCTTTGCTTTTAGGACCTGAAGAATCCCAAATCTGTTCTTCAAGCTTATAACCTGATGCAGAACACTATAACTTGTGTTTCTAATGGCTTATTAGATATTGCTGTCAGATATTTTCATATTTCCTCAACAGGTCATTTACCCTCCTCAATTCTTCCTAGTATAAAACAAACTAATGCAAATGGAAAGCAAACATCAAATTATTTGTCCCCTTTTACAAAAATTTACTCTAAAACCATTTAAAATGTAAACTCCAGTTCTCTGGATTTCTGCTTCTGCAACACTTTTAATGATCAAATCAATCATTAGGACATTTTCCATATATCTTTGAACTATATCTTCACCAGCCCACGCTTTCCCCTGCTACTTACTGAGTTCATTCACTCACCCTTCTCTACCTGTCTAAACTTCTACCTGCCTCTAATATAACTCTCCTCCAAACTATTTTCACATTGCTTTTTGAATAATTTTTTTTAAAGCAAAGTGTGATCTTAAGAATCATCTACCTGCCAGATTTTAAGTATTAGGTGAACTTCACTAACTAAAGAACAAAATCAGAACTTCCAAGAATGGCACAAAAAGAACTACATGGTGCATTTCCTGCAACTGAACTGGACCTTTGGTGATTCTCAGAACATCTCGTGCAGCTTTACATTTCTGTGTCTTATTGATCATGGAATTTTCTCTGCTTGGAGTTCAGGCATGATAATATCTCTTTCTCCTCCCTCTCTCTCTCACCCTCTCTGTCCCTCCAACCTCCCCTTTTTTCTTTCTTCCTCTCTCTCTTTTTACACAATTCTCATTTGAAGAACAACAACATATCATACCAGGCAGAGTGAGTCACATAATTGGGCATAAAAGCAATAGTATAAGCAGTGGTAGAAAGTGCAGACTTCAGAACCAGCCTGCCAAAATATGCATCCAAATTTTGTCCTTCACTAAAAGTGGGCTAGAAGTTTGTCTTCTTCCTCTGTGAAGTGCAGATAATAGTCACAGCAGCTTTCCCTAAGACTTGGTAAGGATCAAAGGCACCTTATATCGAATGATGTGATTTCCATTGTAAATATTGATGTTACTGTTGCACTGTATTTAATGTTCACTTGAAACATTTGAGTCTTTATATCATACAGTCATTGACTCTCAAATTTATTTCCCTGCTGGACTACTAACTCAGAGAGGGCAGGTCCCATGTCTTGTTCATCTTTACAGATTGCTTAACTCAGGGTTGTGCATGCCAAATCAGAAATAGAAATGTAACTGATGACATCTGTTTGGCTCCAGCAAATTGGCATTAGGGAAAGCTCTTTCCTCCCTGACATTAACCTATTCTGTCCCCATGTGTACAGCCTCCTTAAATATCACCTCCAGTTTCACCCAAAGCATCCAACCACCTATGACTTTCTCACATACTGGGTTAAAAATGAAGTTTTGGAAGTTTAAGACTGTCTATTCTGTTGTTGATAAGAAGAAGATAAAAATGTTATATAATGAAATTGAAAAAAGGAAAGTTGTAGTCAATTAGTCTTATTTATTTGATACTTTATATAGATAATTTTTAAATGTTTTGCTCATCTTTGGTTTTATTACCTTGTATGGCAGCATTTGAAGAAAAAAGAACTAGTAGAACAATCATTTCTATGCATGTGAGATGTCACAATAACCAGCAATATATTCTCAACACACTGTCCCTTGAGTTCACATTAGTGCATGCCTTTCAGAGGTATAGAATCTGATTTAGATAACTTAGCCTATTAAGGGATCTAGCATAAATGTTCAGAATAAAGTATTTTATTCTCTGTTCATATTGCGTTATTCAATCTAGCAGTCAAACATTCCACAGAGAGCAGTAACCTAACAGAGGCAGAAATATTTATTACCGTAGGGAAGAAACTGGTCCCATTTTACATAGAACAAATGGTGTCCAAAAATATAGTTGTAATTCTTACCTAGTTATATTATTAAACACTGCTCACCCTGCCTGGTGTGGATCAGTGGATTGAGCGCCACCTGAGAACCAAAGGGCCATTAGTTTGATTCCCAGTCAGGGCACACGCCTGGGTTGCTGACCAGGTCAGGTACCCAGTATGGGGTAGGGTGCAAGAGGTAACCACACATTGATGTTTCTCTCCCTTCTTTCTCCCTCCCTTCCCCTCTGTCTAAAAATAAATAAATAAAATCAATTAAAAAAATTAAACACTGCTTCATTCTGACTCCGTTCATTTCAACAACTTTTTTTGAGTACCTATTGCTCTATTGAAAATCATCTTGGTGACACAGATTTGAAAAAAGAAAATTTTCACCTCCTGTTGGGGCAAATGGACAGGCAGGCAATGCTGGTACAGGGCACAGTGGAATTGGTACTGTGATGGAGGCAGGAACAGTATGAGACTTATGTATAGATTCACTCATATGCATAAACACTTCTAAATGAGGACAGGAGAAGTGGGAGAGAAGTCCTGTGGAGAAAGCCCGTGGAAATAGGAGTGACAGGGACTCCATTTTTACTGGTTATGTTTTTATATTCTTTTCAAAAAAGAAGGCCATAGGACCACAAAGGAGAGGCACTATGAAGAGGGATTAGAAAGTGTCTTGACGGGATGTGTAGATGCCCCAAGTCATAGCTAAAGTGTATTTGATGATCCTGTGGTATCCCATGGCCGCATATCAAGCCGTAGGCTTGTAAGGAAATAGGTAGCTGGGTGATAGCTACTAACTACTACAAACTGTGTGAACTGTTCCATATTCTGAATTCCATACCCTCCCCACTAATATGTAATGTGAAAGTGAAATAAATGATACCAAATTTAGCTTGATTTTTAGCTAATGAAGAACAAACGTTTGTGAACATGGACCATGGCAAATCTGTGCTGTTTGCATTTAGGCATAGAAAATGTCACTTTTGTCCTCTGCTTGCACCTATTCAAAATATCACTTTTAAGAAGTTAGTTCAATGTCACTTCTGTTTAAGGGTTTGAAGGTTTAGTGAGGAAGTATCTGGGTCACAATGGAAAAGTAAAAACCATAGTGCATTTTACTATAGGTGAACTTATGAGAATAAAAAAATGTTTCTTCTTTCAGACCTACCTCACATAATTCTGTAATTTGTTATTACTATGGCCCTATTACTTTCTTAGCACTCCAATATCAAATTCTATAATTTTCAAATATGAGTGTGGAAAGTGGGAAGTGATACATTCCTATGTTTAAAATCTCATCTTTCCTGTGCCTTTTTACTAAGGTGGTTGTGTAGAAGTCTCTTGGATTGTTTTATTTGAATAAAAGGCATTATTGGCAGACATATGAAAAAGAATGTGTTCTACAGCATTGGTTTGCCAGCTGTTTTATAAGGGCATCTGATATTAAGTGATACTGAAATCTTATCATATTACACTAGCAAAGGAATCTAATATGAAGGATACATTGGAATTACAATAAAACGACCAATAACTTTTTAATCTTATGCTATAGCGTTACCCCAAGGATAGTATCCATGATTTTGACTAACAATATTGCTTGTGGACAGAAAAGAAAAGCCAGCACTGTTTGTTGCCGTGTGCAAATATGATTTTGTGTGGTATTCTACTGTTAAAAAAGATTCTACCCTGTGGTTATTGATATATTCATGTTATTTGTATTGTCAGTGAGAGAAGATTTTATCATATTACTACTGACAGCCAAATCCCCTGAAGGTGACTTTTCTCCAGGTAGAATAATGTCCTATTAGTGGCCTAGACTTGCATTTGCTGGACTTGCAGAGGTCACCTGCTTTAAATGCCAGACAACCAAGTAACTCTTCGCACTCCTTAAAAATACTGAGTTTTTGAAAAGCCAGCTTAGAGTTCTATAGATAGACCATTCTTAATTAACTTCTTTTAGCCACTTTGACATTTGGTATTTTGTTCATGTGAAACCTCTCCAGAAGAAGCCAGTTTATATCCCTAAACCAAGGTTTCTCAACCTCGATACTACTGACATTTAAGTTTCAGAGTGGGATATTTAGCAGCATTGCAGACCTCTATACACTAGGCGCCAGGAGCAGCACCCCCGCCAACCTCCTTGTGACAACCAAACATGACTCTATATCCTGCCTAGTGTCCCCTGGGGAATACAGCAGCTTCTAATTTAGAACCACTGGGCAAAGTATAAAGGGAACACTTGCCATACACATAATGTTATGTGAATTTTGGCAAAGAAATATCTCTTAAGAGAGTCGACTATTCCCAGGAACATAGTTTGTTCAAGAATTCATTCCTGGTTTTCTGTACTAGCATTTGCAAAGCATAATGGATAGATAACAAATACAAATGGCATATAAAGTCACATGTTTAGAATTCCCTTAGTTTTGTTATTGTGGCTAACAAGTTCTGTGATTTTCCTCTTTCCTATTCCTCAATAACACAATGGCTGTTCTTAAAGTACTTTTTGGAATTTCTTTAAAGCTCTGGTTATATGAAATTTGTTTTAAATCATGACAGATACATGGCACAAACTGAGAAAAAGTAAAGAGATTGAGAAACTCATTCTGCAGCCTGGTCCTATATATTTTCTTTAGACACTGTACCTCTAAGGCTCAGATGCAATAGCAGCCTCTCTTGCCGTGGTTAAACCAAGGGTTTCTTGTAAATTCATCTGGTTTATGTTTGGACTTGTGAAAAGCTTGTATCAAAATACCAGAATTAGGAGATCAAGACAGTGGGCTGAGTCTGTTCTTCCTGGTATATTTTTCATTCTCTGACTTTAGCATTAGCATTGGAAATTGTTGGGAAGTATGACATATTCTCATTTGATGGATAGGATTAAAACAGATAAAACAAAAATGCATTCAATTTACCCCCAAGGTTCTGTTGTTAGTATCAGTTTCCTTGGCTGGTGTCTGTACATTTCTGATCTTTGTTTTCCCTATAGAATTTTCTGTAAACTCTGACTGTCAATCCAGTCGTTATGGCTTTCATGTTTGATACTCCATTTGGTACATTTTACAAAATAAATCAGCCATACTAAAATGTGATGTACAGGGTGCTCCATCAGTGGGAGAGGCTGAAACTGGGTCTTTAACTGAAGTTAATCACAGCACAGTGAATGAGAAGGACTGTTTGTAGAGTTGCCAGGGTGCCTCTCCTGTCATTGTGAGCCTCAACTACGTCTTTCTGTTCACTCCCCCACAAGGAAGATTGGTCAAAGATAAGACCTAAAGGAGCTTCTTAAGTGCAAACCCTGATTTTTGTAGAAAAGTACTGGTTTTCCTAGTTACTAATATGTCTGCCTGCGAGAAAGTGTGTAGGAATGCTTCCACTGAGCATTTATAAATATGTGAATCTGGCCTAGCTTCTCTGGGTTTGGTCCCTTGTTTGCTACTAGTTCAGAGACCACCTTCTGTTCTCCCACTGTCTTGGCATTGGCTATCGTGTACTGTAATTGTTACTTATTTTCCCAAGCTGCTCTGCATTGACTCATTCAAAATACAGTTATTCTGTATCTACTGAGTCTCAGATTTTGTTCTAGACAACAAAGCAGAGGTTCTCAACATTCTCGAAGCTGTTGATCTGGAGGAGGAAACAGTCAATACATACATTGTGTTGGATTCATCATCTTGGCTTCCATAACAAAATACTATCCATTGAATGGCCCTAAACAACAGAAATTTATTTCCTCAAAGTTCTGGAGGTGAGAAGTCCAAGATCAAGATCTGGCAGATTCAGCTTCTGAAGAGGACCCTATTCCTACCTCAGAGACAGCTGCCTTCCCACTGTGCCCTCCCGTGACATTTCCTGCATGTACATGTGTGCAGAGAGTGAGCAAGCTCCCTATGTCTCTTCTGATAAGGACACTGATCCCATCAGAACAGGGCTCCACTCTTTCGAGCTCAGTTAAACTCAGTTGCTTCCTTAGAGGCTCCACCTCCAAATATAACCACCCTGGGAGTTAGGATGTCAGTATGAATTTTGGAGGGACACTAACATTAGTCTATAAAATACTATCTCAGATAATGATAAGAGTAATGAAAAAAACAGAGGAAAGTCACAGAGAAAAATTGGGACAGAGATGGTGGTTACTACTTTAGCTACAGGCCTCCCTGAAAAAGTGGAAGTTGAATCAGACCAATCATAAACAAGAGGTAGTTTGGAGAGATTTAGTTAAATGAGCATTCTAGGCAGAGAGAATTATAAGTTCATTGTCCAAGACAGAAGTGAAAATGATATGATCATGTGACAAAAGAAGGCCTGTGCGGTTGGATCCTAATTGGCTAGGGGAGGAGGTAGGAGAAGATATCAGAGAGGCAGGGCGTAGCCTGACTGTGCCAGCCAATCCTAGGGATTCAAACTCTGTTCTCATTGCAATGGAAAACCAGTGGTGGCTTTTAGACTGATTCATGGACAGATGAGATTTGATTTAAGTGACTAAACAGAGAAACTCGAAGGAGAGTTTTAGAGTCTCCCCCGTCTTTGGTACACATAGTAAATGCTCAGTACATTTCTTTAAGTGTAAGGATGGATGTTTTCTTACACAGTAATTGGCTTTTTTAAAAAGTCAGTTTTATTAGGTACAATTTACATAGAATATTATTCACTCTTCGTAGTGTACAGTTACATGCATTCTGGCAAACATAGTCATGTAGGCACCAAACAATCAAGATAAAGAACAGTTACATCACTTCCCTGATTTCCTCCTGCATCACAGTAGTCAACCGCTCCTTCCAGCCCCTGCCTTTGTCATCCACTCATCTATTTTCTGTCTTTCCAGTTCTGCATTTTCTGTATTGCAATATAAATTAAAATGCGAGGTCTTTAAGTCTGATTTCTTTCATTTAGCATAATCAGTCACAATTCATCCTGTTAACTGTGTCAGTAGTTCTTTCCTTTTTACTGCTGAGTAGTGGTCCAGATTGTCCAGATGCACCAGTTTGTTTATTGACTCAGTTAAAGGTTGTTTGGCTTCTTCCAGTCTTTGGCAAGTTTCAATAAACATGCTATAAACATTTGCATTCAGGTTTTTGTGCAAACATGTGTTTTCATTTATCTTTAGTTAATATCTACCAGTAGGATTATTGGGTTATGTGATGTGCATGTTTAACATTATAAGAAACTTCCAACCTGTTCCTCACAATGGCTGTCCCATTGTACACTTCCACCAGCAATGAATGAGAGTTCTACCTGCTCTGAATTCTTGCCAGCACTAGTATTGATGTTTTAACAAATGGCCATTCTAATAGGTGTGTAGTCGATATCTTTTTTCAAATTGCACAACTATAAATTTAGAGGTCTGTTGGGTATGAATAGTAAGGATGTAATAAGTGAGTGAGTAATTTTTAGCTATATTTTTTTAGCCAAAATAGTATGATGTTATAATCCTTATTGAGAACTAGATAAAGTCAAATTTGAGAATATAGTTCCTTAATACTAGCTTGGAGACTCTTATAAAATATAAGCTTAAAGAATTTATTCCTTAAATGGCAACCTTGAAATCTTGCCCTCCTATATTCAATGCAAGTCTTGTGGAATGTCTCTTTAGAAAGGCAACCCATGAGACCATCCAAAATATTGGTGAGGTGTGATGAAACTTTTGTCCCCAAAACTCCAACCTCAGTCATATAATTAAAAAATAAATAAAAGTAGTAGTTGACTTTTGATAACACTATGACTGAGTAACATAATGATTCTGTTATCTTTGATATACATTTTCTCAATTTATCCTCACATCAGTGAAATACTCCATCGTAGGCAACCTCGCCTTGTCTGCTCTTTGGCTGGCCACTCCAGCCTTCCACCTACCAGTGAGACCTTAAGGAAGAAACATGATCTTAAATTCTGCTGAGGAGTTTGAGCAATGTGTAACTTGTGGACTCTAGACTATCATCTGAGCAAAGATGGATAGGTATGTCACTGCATTCAGTGTCTAGAAGATACCCTTTAACAGATCTCTAGAAGGGGTAATCCTCCTCTGATTTATGAAGCCCAGATCTTGTTCAGTATCATTCTATAATTGTCCAATGAAGGCCCCTAAAGGACTGGAAAACTCAGTGTTTTTTACAGAGTCTACAGAAATATATCGCATATGTCCAGAATCTCCACCAATGCCATTACTGAATCCAGAAAATACTTCTACCTGTACCTAGACACAAACTCTCTGCTTCTCTTTTATGGAGAAAGTATTTACCTTAGTTTTCATATGAGGGTATGGACTCATGCCTAGCACATGTTATCTAAAACTCTCTTGTAGCTGATTCTGTTTCCTGAAGGAAAAGATAGATGCAGTTTATGTAGGAGCAACATCAGCCGGCTCTATAAAGCCTGGTGCTACCATTTTGCCTCCCCCCGCCAAAGAGCTTTAAAATGGCATTGCCTTTTAAAAACAGAACAAAACAGTGCCTGTGGCTTCTCTCCCTTCTTGGTTAAACATACTCTTACATTCACCTGGCATAAGAGATTTTGTATAAGATGACTTAAAGTTGCCATTTTCTTCAGAATAATGTATTTCTCCTAGTGGAATCAAAGACTGTAAATCACCTGGATGCTCCTGTTAATGAAAAGTCGGTGGGAGAACTTGAGGGTGGACTCTGTCTTTCCCAGAAGTGCTTGGAAGCATTGCCAAGCGGCCAGGCATGCAGCAGCTTTATGAATCTTCTTTTTTTGTTGTTGTTTTCTGTTTGCAGATTTTATTCTTCACCGTACAGTATTGCAACCAACCGCATGATTCCACAGACATCTATCACGCCATTCATTGCTGCTTCCCCTGTCTCCACATACCAGGTATGTCTGATTTCCCTGCACCTCAGGAGAGATCTTTCTTGCCAGTGATAGACTACATCAAGGCCAAGACATAGTCGAGTTTTCAAAGCTGGTCCTCAAACACTTTAGTGCACATCCTGATGTAATAATACTCAAGTTACCAATTAATAGCCTATACTTTCAAGGGCTTGTTTGCCTCTATTTCACTGATTAAGAAAATCCACGGTGCTTTCCATTCTTCCCGCTGAGTTTTCATGATTGCACTACCTTCCAGCCAACTTTAATACAGCTCTCCGACCACTGAGAAGTTTTGTTTGTTGTCTGTTATTTTGGTTGTCACGCTTCCTATTGTGTCTTTTCTAAAAGCACATTTGTAGCACTCCCTGCCCTTACTCCAGCGTATTCTGTCATTGTCATCTCATTTTGCCACAGATGTCCTGCGTATCCATGTAAAACTACATGGATACATGTGAAATCATTCTCCCCAAGAAATAGGAAAGATTATCAAAGTGGTGAAAAATTATTCCTCCTTTCGGCTCTTACTTCATTCTCAGTTTCAAAGAAGCCAAAAGAGACCTCAGGGGTTCCACATGTTGAAGCACAAGAAAATCTGAGGCTCAGTGTGTGTCCTAAACCAGATGTTGTAGCCAGTTAACTCTATGTACACAGGTGGTTTGAAATAGTCATACTTCTCCCTTAGAAACTGCTTCTTATCTTATTTCTTTGAGTTATCAAATATGTGATATCACTCACTGCTTCTCTTTGCCTCATATTTTTCTTCAGACAATTCTTCTTATTCTAATTAGAAATAGATCTCAATGTTACATACAGAGAGTATCTAGTGTCATTTTTAAAACGTTAAAGAAGGAGACAAAGCGAGAGACTGCAAGAGCGTGCATGCCATGTGTTTCTCTATATTTGCAGATGGTGGGGGTGGGTGTTTTACAAGGGGTAAAACTCTAATGTTTCTGACTGCTACTAATTCAGTTAAGTGTCGCCTTATTCAGCCACTATGTACTTCATTTCAGGATGTCCCAGTTGTCAGAGCATCAAGCCTCAGACTATGTACATTTTTCTTTAACTTATGGCCCCTGAAGCAGTTCATTTTCATTCATTTCCTGCACTTAGACGCTTGATACATGTCAGTGGGCGAACAGAGTAGACGCTTGTGGAATTGCATTCGAGGGTCTCAGAATGACCGACTGCCTAATTGCCTTTCCCTGGGACCCATGAGGCTGTGTGCAGGTGCTGTTCACTTTCTGTTCTGCATGCAGGCCCGCCTGGTTGGAATGTGTTTTGTTTTGTTTTACCCATTTTTTCCCCTACTCTTGGCCTCCGTTTCAGCCAAGACCACCCATGGAGCCCCAGTGTGGAGCACTTTGGTGACATGCATAGAATATCCACAGAAAAGTGATTTTACTTGAGAGGGCTCAGAAGTGGAATGTAACCCCAGCTCTCTTTTCTCATAAAAGGAATTAGAGCAATTTCCTGTGTTGTTGATTCTCGCCTTTCAACACCTCCTTCTTCTTTTTATTTTAAATCTAAATTGCATTGGCGATTTTGCTTGTGTGAATATATTGAAAACAAAAAGTCTTCAAGGTTCTCTATGTGACAATCAGCTCTCCCGGCTGACTTTCTCCTTTGGCCAACAAGGTACATTTCAGAGCGGTTGGCTGGCTCAAACACACATTTTTATTTACTATACCAATGACCATGAGAGAAAAAAATTACAAACTTGCTTAAGTTGTGTTTTCCAAAGCATTTTCTCAAATTTTTGGTTGCTCGATTTAATTCATACCTCAACTTTTTCCACTTGGACTTATTTCCAAGATGGGAATCACTTGAGAAGTTGAAGTGAAAACAAATGTCAGGAAAAAAAGGAAGTCTTAGCAGTAAACTCGTGCCTCCTTATTAATTGCCCGGGTATCCCTAGGAGTTGACCTCTAAATAGGAAGGTTCCCGTGGCTACCTAATACTTTAGTCTCCAACACCATCCTCAAAAAATGCTCCACGTCCCAGTTGGGCCCATGTGGATACTGTAGCCAGCTCCAGCAAGATAGGAATTTGCTTTACATGTGCTGATCCTGTTTCAGGGACCAGATTAATCAGGTCCAAGAATGTGCTTTCTATCCTTAGTTTTGAGCACTTGTTAGCTGTAAAGTCAGATGGACTCCACTTTCTTATGACCTAGTGTGACTCCACTGAACACAAGAACCAAGTTCTTTCTGTGATTGCTTTGTGCTAATAAATGCTGTTTGATGCATAGGTCCAGAGTACTTCATGGATGCCTCATCCGCCATACGTTATGCAACCAACAGTAAGTGTTCTCAGTCACCTGAGGCTAAATATTTCTATTATCCAAGTGCAAGCTTTTGTAATGCATAGAAGCTTTGGGGGAAAGCTTTTGTTATAGTGCACACCTCTTTCAGGCAGCCATATTTTTCAGAAAAAAAGCTGTTCCTGAAATTGTACAAAAGCATGTACAATAGATAGAGATAGAGACGTAGATAAACACAAAGATAGAAAGAAATAAAGGTAGAGATAGACAGGTGCATAGATAGATAGATAGATAGATAGATAGATAGATAGATAGATAGATAGAAGGATAGATAGATAGATAGATAGATAGATAGATAGATAGATAGATATAGGTAAACTCTCTTGGAGGAAATATCAGTCATAACAGTCAGTCTCTCAAGCTGATGTGTACTATTTGTTATAAGTAGGGAATTTCTACTTCATTCAGGAACTCTGAACTCTGTACAATTAAATCCATCATAGGGGAATAGCCTTTCTGTTTTCCTTCTTCTATTGTGCTTTGTTTTCTTCAAATGCAATTTGGTGAGGTTTGGGAATGAATTTCAGTATCAAGGCCAAGTGTTGACTCAATATACTTGAAATAGAAAAGGAGTTGTTCATTAATAGATGGAGATGTATAGATGGATAGCAAGGTGGCTAGATGTTTTTTACGTTAATAACTAGAGGCCTTCTCTTCCTCTTTTGTGGAGAATATGTCCCCAAAATATTTAAACTCTATTTTCTACTTGCTAGATTTCCCATTTTGTGGAACTATATTACATCAGTCCCAAGTGAAAAATATTACATATTCCATTAGAATGTAGACTGAAGGCTAATGATTCCATTTGTCTTTGTCTAGTTCTCTTAGGTTTTCTTGCTCTATAGAAGTGTTACGAGGTAGATTTCAGTAACAACACACTCATGATAGTGTGAGGTAGTGGAAGAGCCCTAGACTGAGAGCTGCGTAACACAGTCTCTGGTGGACTCTTCTGGGTATACTCACATCTGCGCCTTTGTCTCCTTACCTGTCACTATACTTAGTGTTTGGAGTAGAATCAAATAAGAACATGTGTGAAAATAATTCTTTACATATGATATGCTACAGTTAATTATTAGCATTATTCTTAGTATCATTGGACCTGTGTGTTATGCAAAGAAGAAGCAATCCTACTTTTTGACTCTCCTCAAAGCCAAGTATAAATAAGCTAGCACATATTAAGGACCAGGGAGCTAAATGCACAAGCATCCACTTCCTGGGCTCAAAGGATCACAGCACCTGGTTTTCATAGTTGGGCTTTCTCTATTTTATTTAAAATAAGGAAATTCTACATTGCTCCTAACGTTTTGATAGTTTGTTTTCTATTTAAAGAATAAAATAGATGTAGCTTACTGCAATAGAACTTTAGACCATATTTTGCAAATCCTGCTCTTTACTCTTATTTCCACACTTTGGGGGCTTCCTGAGTTCATCTGGACTGTGTTCTGTAAATCATACCAACATACAATGGATCCAAGATATACTTTTCTGTCCAAGTCATGAGGTAGAACTCAACGTATGCTGCCAAAACAATGTATAGCACAGGCTGAGCCAACACAGGAAAAGAGATGTCCTGCCAAGTTGTAAAGAGTAGACTTTCTAGAAGGAAACAACTACCTTCTAAAAAAAATGTGTTCATCTCTAAAGCACTGGTGCTAGCTTAGTCCTCACAGTGAGGTTAAGCATCATCTCACTGTGGTCAAAATGAATGCACATGTGGCACAATACTCAGATTTGCCAGATGTTCAAGTGTGTTAGACTCTACAGTATTTCTAGAGCTGTGAAGAGAATGGAAGACGTTTGTATGTGTAGTTGTTTCATCAGAACCTTAGCAAATTTTTCACTCTCACCTCCTCACCCGAGCACAGCTTCAGCCCCACTTTTGAAGACATTATTTCTCATACATCTTACTCTAGCAATAGCTGTGTGTGTGTGTGTGTGTGTTCCTTTGTTCTATTGGATCTTCCTTGCTGTGGCTCAATGGTATCTCATCACCCCCATGACTACACTGCGCATCATGTTTGAGGTCAGGGCACTCAGTTTACAATATAATGTCTGTGGCTGGAGCAGATTCCTGGGAAAGGAGGTGTCTGGGCCACCACCACTTTGTTATCTTTAACATGAAAAAATTTGCTGAATGGTCTCATGGAAATGCAGAGTTTATTCCATAGTCACTACCCTGCAACGGTCTTGCTGGTTGTCCAGTTGTCCCAACTGGTCTTGGTATCATCGGCAAAGTAAGGGTTACATAATCACTTTATGATACTAAAATACAAAAATACTTCAGCACTCTAGGGCAAAGAAACAAAATATCCAAATCTGAAAAGAATGAATGATTTGATAATTAACAGCCTGGAGACTTAGTTAGGCTTTTTAAGAAAAAAAAAACACTTTTCCTCACTCTGGGACTTTGGGCAATTAGGCTTCTTGACCCACATTTTTATCTGCTATATATTGACATAATAATGCCTAAATAATTATGCATTTTGTTTATTAAAGAAAATATGATATTTAAAGCTTTTAATACAGTGCCTGGCAAATGGCAAACACTCAGTAAATTATTATTAGTATTTATTTATTTATTTATTTATTTATTTATTTATCTGAGTAGACTATACCTTATGTCATAGATAACCCAATTGTATGAATTGAGTGTTAGTATAGAAAGAAAATTGGGATAAACAATAATCACGTATTTCTACCTAATTTATACTGCTTATCTTAGTTTACTAATGAGTTTGGTGGAGATAGCCTCTGTGGGTATAAATAAGACACATTACTTAGGTTGGTAATTCATTGACTTACTAAACCATTCTCCTAAAATACTTAAAAAACAATAGACCCATTGGATACCTTCTGGAATCTACTTTACAAATAAATTCAAGGTGTCAATATCAACGTATCTCAGATAAGTTGCCCTAATTCTGATTTGCTTACAGCTTTCCTTCTCTCCATCATTCTGGGGGCAAGTTCCTTTCTAAGCTGTAAGTGTTATAGGTGTGTTATCGCTAGGAATGCACATGATTTCTGCACTGGAGCCAGAAGCCTTGCATGTTCTCTTTCAGTCCAGACTTGAAGGACTGTAGGATCTTAACCAGGTTTCTGATGAGGAAACAGTGTTTTCAAAAAGTCTGAAGGCAGGAGCACAGTGCCTCTGGTCTTCACCAGGGTGAGAAATATTTAACCTGGAGCAGCAACATCTGTAAGAAACAAAACGGTGGAAAGCAGGGAAGGGGGTAACATAGGGACAAGAGAAGAACAGAAAGCATAGCACAGCATTGAAGCTTGCCATGTAAGTTTGCTTCTTTGGAGATTGAATTTTCTAAATTGTATGTAATGTGCTTTTTTGTACATTTAGAAACCATATTCTGAGAGACTTTTTACTTTTATGAAAGAGGGGATAAAAGTCTCCTTGCCTGCTTTGAACTATCACAATGGCATTTTTACCAAAACAAAACAAAACAAAACAAAAAAACAGGTCTCTGTCAGTTGCCTTGACTCTGGGACTTTATCGGGTCCCCTGGAAAGTTGTCAGACCCCACTTAGAACAATGAGAGTCTCTGTTTGCACTGTGTTGTTCTTCACCTGGACAGACACGGAGGAGAGAGCACTGCTAGACTAAATTAGGAGCTAACTCACTTTTGGCTGCAAGGAGGTAAAAATGCTGACTTTGTCAATGCAATCAGTCATTTGTCCCTGCTTCTCTCAGTGCAGGGCTCTGTACTGTATACTCTGAAATCTCACCCTGACTCTGATGGAATTTTAATAGATGATGGATTGCACCAAATATCTGCTCTGCATAGCAGTGTGTCACATTGGAATCTCATATGAATTCACAGTCGAAATCCTGTGTTGCAATACGTCAAATATTTTGTTAAATCTGTACTGACAAGGAGAAAAGATGATCGTTCCCAAGAAGAAGCATAGTTCCCTTCTCTTCAATTTTATTTAGGCTCATCTGAGACATAAATCTTCTGTTCTTCATATGGTTAACATTATTTCATTTCAAGGAGAAAGGTCAGCTTTCATTTTCACTTAATTACAAATTGGTTATCTAATTACAGTATTCGAAGTACAAGATGCCCCTACTGAATGGTTGAATGATTTGTTGCTATGCATGGCTAAATAATAACTCTTAATAAACTATAGGTTTGCAGGTAAAGAGTAAATATAAACTTCTCCTTGACAACAAGGCTGTTCAAGAAAGCTCCAGAATATTCGATTTGGTCACTGTTTACCTGCAAACTGGTAAGGGCTGAGGCTTAATTTTAGAGGCAGTGTCTCTCAGAGTTTCAGGTGTGTTTTCTGTAAAAGCACATCACCAAATTTGAAAGAGGTGGAAGGGGGTATAGGGAAGATAAGTAGTAATGAAAAACAAATACAATAAAAATGAACTATTTAAAAATACATAAATCATTACAGTTCTGTTCAGAAAACAAGGTTTTCAGATACTATCTTTTTACATCAACACTTGAGCTGAGCAAAAAACCCTACCCTCACAGTTTTATTATCAAAGGCAAAGTGCTTTTGCTGGCTAAGGAGTTAACCAGGTAAACATATATTTCCAGGGAAAATATTTTTTTAGATACATAGCAAAAACGAAACAACAGCAACTTTAACTCATATTCTACCATTTCTACCAGAAAAGAACTCAAATGAGTGAGAATGAGCGTAGGAGGAGCCGCTTCTTTTGAGTATCACCTCCTGTGCAAGGTGGGTAAAGTGAGCAAGGTGGTCTCCACTGAAAGTCTCTTACACAACCTACCTGCTGTCAAGTTAAAAACAAAAGGTGTTGGCTCTGCCTTTGTTCAATGTAGCTTCCAAATTCGACAGTAATTTTTCAAAAACAATGTAAAATGACTTGAGAAAAACGACTTTGAACAATAAAATCCAAGGTTCACCATTCAAAAGTACATAGCACATGAAGGACTTTCCACTCACTGATTCTTCCTTCCAGAAGTAAACTTTGTAAACAAATGCGT